TTGTAGCTTAAAGCTTTTTTTTTTTTTTTTTTCAAGTTTTTAATTTTAAAGTTTTATTTATTGTTCATATTTTGTTTTTGAAAAACCAAAACTAAAAATATTCAATATTTTTTTTTTTACCATGGATCCACATTAAAACTAAATAGTTGCTATCATTTGTAGCTTCCAATGATTGAAGGTTATGGAACATTTACAACCTGACGTTTTCCCAAGCATTATTGTTTTAAATTTACTTTTCAACACTGTTTTTAAGTCATTTATCTTATGCGATAGCGTACATAAATGAGGAGGTTTATAATGTTTATTAATAAGAGTTGGACATAACTTTATAAACGCTTATCAGCTGAAGTCTCAAAAGAACGTCCATCTGCAATAATAAGCTCCAATACAGCTTGGTCAAATATTTTCCAGTATTCAAATGAGATTTTTTTTAAAAAAAATACTTTCCAAAACATCTGGTTTCGACAAATTACGTTTTTTTGTTCGATCTGCTTTAGCTTAAGTATGAAGCGTCTTGTGCTTTCTTTCCAAGTGACTCCAGAGATGGGATATTGTGCCAGAGTTTTGTACACGTAAAGTGGTTTTGCACGTTTTACATAAATAAGACTGATCTTTTACTTCAAAGTACGACTTAATGTTGTCGAATTTGTAATGCCATACCTAACATAATAAGTGGTCTGGAAATTTCTTAAAAAGGACATGCTACAGATGGGCAGACTTTGTGCTACGGCATTTCACCGCTATATGCTTGGATTGGCTTTTTTAAATTTATTTAACATATTTTATATAGAATTGAAGTAAAAACTTGGTTTTAAAAGACCAATATTATATTTATTGAGAAAATAAATGTATAAACAAAAAAATGCGACTATCTTAAAACTTGAATGTCAAATTTTTTTATTGAATTAGATTTAATTTTTTCATTAGATCTAGTATAGTAAAGAATGAAATATAGGGGAGAGTTGCCATAATTGGAACAGCGCCTTAATTGGAACACTTGCATTTATTTTTGAAAAAAAAAATGAACTATGACTATATTCGCATTTTTTTTAGTCATTATTTTCTACGTTTTGACACATTTTGAAAGTTATTCGTTAACACACTTGCTCTCAACATACTCAAGATCGATAAAAAATGTCAACGAAAACTGGTTGTAGATCCTTTTAGAACATTTTTTTGTAGATCACAAATCTGTTGAACTTAAAATTCTAGCTGCTCGTTCGTGATTTTTAACTAACTTTTAATTTAGTCATTATTTCAAAATATATTTTTTCATCTTGCATATGGTAATAGAAAAAACTGTGATTTATAAAGATGTTATTAGTTATAGATTACTTCAACTATCTATAATACTGTTAAAAGTTATTATAAATCTACAATACGCAGTAAAACTACGCTTTTGCATACTTTAAATCCAATTAGAATTAAAAGAAGTAACAAACTGTTTTAATCAATATTTACATAATTAATATTAAAAAAAACGGGGTTTAAACAAATAAAATTAAAATAAATTGAAAATAAAATTGTTATAAATGTCTAGAACTAAATTTCACAACAGCTTTCATCAACCGCTCCCCATACGACGCATCGGTGATCATTTTATGTTGATATCGTAACCAATACTTTAAAAATTCCCTATGGATTGACTCTCCGGCTTATTCAGATATAAGTCCTATTCCATAATCTGATTTTAGTTCACAAAGGCATTGTTCAATCCGTTCAAGAATTACGCATTTTCTCAGATTACCATATGTTAGCAAAGATTTCAAAGAAATATCTAAGTTGCAGTTTACATCACATATATTTTCTTCCTCCTGTGTGATTAATCCTCGGAGTGACCGTAATTTAATATAGCAATATGGACAAAAATTTGTTGAAGTGGCTGTCTGCAGACCATTAACAACCAAAATTAATTTAAAGTCAGCTACAAAAATAAAAAAAATCCTGTTTAATCTAACCTAATTAGATTAAACAGCAGTTTTATGTTTTTATAAAACTCTTTAATTTGAGGTTATTATTCCATAATCTGATTTGATCATTTTATACAAAGTATTCTTAAACTGTAAACATCTGTTAACTTTCATTTTTTGCTAGCTGTACCCCCTTTAGAATACAAGGATCTTTTTTGGTTAGGAAGGCTTGGTTCCTCTGACTTTTTGAACTCTTTAGCTTCATCCTCGGTTAATTCATGATTTAGCTCTGGATGATAACTTTCTGGTAAAATTATTGCACAAATTTTTAGAAAGCCTTTGCCTTCGTATTAAGCAGATTTACTTCTAAAAATTGTATTAATTATTACAAATTAAACTTTAATGTAAATATAAAACATAATGATACCTTAATGTATATTTTTTCGTTAATCTCTATAGCTATCATCACGGCATCAACAATACCTTGTAAATCTGCCCAACAAATTCTTCGCTTTGCTTTCTCTTTAGATTCACTCTCTACATTTAACCTTGTGTAACCTGATATAAACTTTTCTAAGATTTATATTTTCTGGTGCCTGCTCTCTGTAGCAGGAATAGGCAGAAATAGCATATCTTGTGTAACCTGATATAAACTTTTCAAAGATTTATATTTTCTGGTGCCTGCACTCTGTAGCAGGAATAGGCAGAAATAGCATATCTTGTGTAACCTGATATAAACTTTTCTAAGATTTATATTTTCTGGTGCCTGCTCTCTGTAGCAGGAATAGGCAGAAATAGCATATCTTGTGTAACCTGATATAAACTTTTCTAAGATTTATATTTTCTGGTGCCTGCTCTCTGTAGCAGGAATAGGCAGAAATAGCATATCTTGTGTAACCTGATATAAACTTTTCAAAGATTTATATTTTCTGGTGCCTGCTCTCTGTAGCAGGAATAGGCAGAAATAGCATATCTTGTGTAACCTGATATAAACTTTTCAAAGATTTATATTTTCTGGTGCCTGCTCTCTGTATCAGGAATAGGCAGAAATAGCCTTTTTACCTATATTGGATCTTTCTCCATCACATTTAAAGATACTCCAGTATTACCTAAAAGTTATTCAAGCCTTCGCTCGAAAAGTTGACTATTTTGGCTATATCAGATTTTAAAACGATTTGTGATTTACATCTTCCTTTTGAATGATGTTCTAAGCAGATATTTATTTTTACTTGAATCTTTTTGATTCAAGTCTGAATCGAAAAGATTCAAAATCAATCTGCCTTAGTTTTAAGTAATGAATTTATTAACTGGTCTTTTTCTTTTACTGGTGACGTTTTGTTGAAAACTTTTTCAATATTTTTTGCTGGTATTGCTTGCTTTCAATAATTCGACAGTCTTTTTCCAATTTCTGATTTGCAATACGAACAAATAGTTATTGAATTTGCACCTTCATTACCTATAAATTTTAAATAGAAATATTACTCTATTCGTTTATTATTATATGTATACATAAGTCTTGTCAAAACTTATAATATTTACCTGAACAAGATTCTAAAGAAACCTTCCTAATTCTAGCAGCAGCAAGTAAACCACTGTCTTCAGTAATGTTAGAAGTCAATCTTCTTTTATAACCTCTTTCTCAAACGACGGGTTGATGACCAATATACCTTGCTGTGATGCATATACAGCAATTGCACTGCCTTTCTCCTCTAGTTCTAGTTTTTTTCTATCTATAATGTATCTTTATTGTTTGACATTTTAGACAATTTTCTATTTTCAGTATTTTTATGTCGCTCATTCGGATTTATTACATATACTAAGAAGATATTTGCTGTTTGCTTTGTCAGAATTTAAATTTATATACATTTTAATTTTTTCAGCTATCTTTTCTGTGATTTAAAATGGACTTTTTTTTTGAATTTATTTTTTTCCCACATGGTGCACACACTTTTACTTTAGATTTATCATAACTTGCTGATTTGTTGGGCATATCTTAAGTATAACACTCGATACTTATTTATAAAGACTTATTAGTTCATAATTTTCCAAAAATTAAAGAAGATGTCAAAGATAAAGACTATTTTTATATGCATAAATAATATCATAGTTGGTACTTCTCACATTTGTTGTCATTTCCGTTTACAATTAATAAAAATTCAAAATTTTATTAATTTAGTTTAATATAGTTCTTTGCTATTCAGTAATACAAAATTATTTAATTAAAAACCAGAAATATACACAAATGATCTAGTTGATCATTTGTGTATATGTTGATCCTATCAATTATTCAAACCGTTGACGTTTTAATGAAAAAATAGTCAATTTAAAAATCATTTAAAAATCTTGGACGAGCAGCTAGGATTTTAATTTCAACAGATTTGTGATGTAAAAAGAAAAGTTCTTAAAGGCTCTGAAAATAGTTCTCGTTGACATTGTTATCAATCTTGAATTTGTTTAGAGCCAGTGTGTCAAAAAATGCATGTGCACCATTGATTTAAAGTTTTTTTGAATCATTTTTTTTCAGTGGTCTAATTTTGTGTTCGCCTATATTTGTTGCGCTGGGTAAACTTTACTGCTAAAGATTATACGGTTTTTTGTATTTGATTTAATGGGATTTAAAATGCAAAATAGTAATAAAAACTTTTCTTGTTGCAAGCTGTATGTTGTAGTGATTTAACCAAGTAGTCCAAAGATTTTGTTAAATCACTTGGTTGGTTGGAATTTTAAGGTTTTTCTTACTTAACCAATAATAAAATCAAAGGGTTGTAAAAATAGTTCAAGTTTAATAACAGGGGCCAAAGCTATAAACAATTCGAAGTTTTTTTCGAGAAAAAAATCTATCGGAAAAACGCAATATTTTGAGTAAATTATTTATACGTAAAAAAAAGCGTAAACACGAAGAATTTATCGCTGTTTGTCCAATGCTATAAAGTATAAAACGTATACGTCACTCATATTTACGATTTTTTTTTATCCTTAATACATCATTGATAACAACAATTTTTTTTAATTATCATTATGCGTGGCCTACTTAATAGTTTTTATTAGTTATTAAGTAGGCTGTGCTGTCTATTCCATTTCTATAAATTTTTGTACATTCTAGTATTTGGTGTTTAAAAAAACTGTATAAAATTATAATATGAACATAGATTTAATTTTTTCAGATGAAGACTTTGGAAATTGCAGAAAATGAGCTTCACCACCGATTGCCTCAAGAGGTTGGTGTTTAAAACATTATTTAAAATTACTAAATTTTGATGTTTTTATAACTAAATTAGAAAACATACTAAATATGCGTAGAAATTATATTTTTGTTTTGTTTTTCTATTCCATTTTAGTTTATTGGTCGCTTTTTTAACGAAAATGTTTATGACTACGTTTTTCGAGAGCAGTATCGAGTCCCAAGACCTGTATTAGATTTTTTAGAAACTAGGCTTAAAGATAATTTGCAACATTATACTAAGCGAAATAAAAGCATTTTAGTACGTTTCCAGATAATGGTATTTCTTCATTTTATTGGCACAAATGTTTTTTTTCATGTTCTCAGAGACTGTCATGGAATCTCTACCAATACAATGTATCGTTTTATACACAGTGTAGGAGAAGCTATTTTCAATGTTAGTATATTAAGTTAATAAAAATATTGAAAGTTATACGTTGTCATAAAAAGTTGCTTATTATTTTTGTTTCAGTAAGTAAATTAAAAACTAAGTTGAGCAAAGATAAAAGTTGATATCTTTTAAATTTAGATTCGACGAGAGATCATAAAATGGACCAATGATTGCTCCACTCTTCCACAAAAGTTTATTCAAAAGTAGTATATATATATATATATATATATATATATATATATATATATATATATATATATATATATATATATATATATATATATATATATATATATATATATATATATATATATTTATTGTCACACCTTTGGTCTCTATTTATAACTAAATTAGAAAACATACTAAATATGCGTAGAAATTATATTTTTGTTTTGTTTTTCTATTCCATTTTAGTTTATTGGTCGCTTTTTTAACGAAAATGTTTAAAGGTGTGACACCTTTGGTACTTAATTGACATTTTCCTTAATACTAGCATGGGAGACAGAGGGGTTTATTGAATAATTTATTTATTATTTTGATTTAGATAAACAGCAATATTTCTCTTAATATTAGTAATAAGAATGACAAATATTAGTAATATAAATGCTATAAATGCTTATTACAAACATTAGTAATATAATGCTATGCCTTTTTATAATATTAAATATTAATAACATTAACTTTAAGTTAATAACTTAAACAAGTTATGCGAGTTATTAAGCCTCAATAACTTACATAATACCAAGTAAAATGTGATTTTTTTGATTAACTTTGATTATTATTTTTTTTTTTTTATTAAACTTTAAATTCAATGTTTAACAACTTTATTTAATAATTAACACTATTGATATTTTGTTTATATTATAAACTTATGTTTATATTAATAGTAATAAATGTTTCATTAATTTATTGATAATAAATTAATGGAACAAACTTTAGTATATTTATAAGTGTTGTTCCACTTCTTATATCATTTATTTTTAGTAATTAAAAATTTTTAATGATTAAATTGGTTTGAAAAACTTCATTTCAGTCAATTGTCTGTTTAAAAAGTAAATTATATTATTTCATTAACTAAATACAAAGAAAAAAAAGTTTTTTAAATTAAGTTATACTTGTAATAATGTTTGTAAATTTTTTCATGGTTAATCTTGAATACAAGTTCGAAATTAAATTATAATTATTTTTATTAGAATATCAAAATTTTTACTTTATTGATGTTTGTTTGATTTTAATATATATATATATATATATATATATATATATATATATATATATATATATATATATATATATATATATATATATATATATATATATATATATATATATATATATATACATAGCCTACTTTATTTATACGGCCGGATATTTTACATATTGAAGAAAAAAATAGAAGGCCAGTTTTTAAAATCGTAATGTTTCAAAAATTTAATACGTTTTGAACATTTTCAATATTATTTTACTTTCTACATTTAAAAAGTCCACAAAAGTTGTATTTATTCATAATTTTAGATATTAAACGAACATTTATTAAGAAATAAATAGTGTTTATTTTAAAATTTAGTATTAGTAAAAACGATGTAAGAAACAAGAACAGTTATAAAAAATATTTAAATGTTTCTCTTTTTTCATTTAAAAATAAAATAATTATATATAATTTATTAAATTTTCTCAAATTTTCTCTTTTTAAAAGATTTTGCATGATCAACAGCTACTTCACTGGTAGAGATAATTCTTTTATTATTAAGAAAAATGTTAACAACAATTCTTCCAGCAAGTTTTATCCCAGTTTTCTCATGCATGGGACAAGAAAAAGTCTGAAAAGAGTCATAAAAGTGGTTTAACAAATATTCTAAAGCTTGTCGTGCATGTAAACTAAATTTCTTTATTTTTTTATAAAAGTAGTCAATCATAGCAAAGGATGTGCAAACATAATCCAAAAGTGATGGTGAAGGAATAGTGAGACCACCCCTAGAAATAATTGTTAAATAAGTATGATCAGGATTGCTTTCATCAATATTGACACAAACAATATTGTAAAATACTTTACAACATGTACCAAAACGTTTTTTAAGTTTCTTTGCTATATAACCAGCAATATGAGCACCTACTTCCCAACTTTCTGGTGCAAGTGTCATGATTTCTGGAGTACACTGAGCTTCATCAATGTCAAGAAGAAAGTTTTTCCAATCTGTTAAATTATTTTCTGACTCAGGCACTTTTAAACTATCATCGAAGTTAATACTTTCTTTAACTATACTTTTGATTTTTAATATTTTTTCAGAAATAGTGACATCTTTTAAACCTACCAAAAATCTTCCACCGCTCATTTGTCTATATTGTCCAAATCTCCTTTCTAATGGGTCACTTTGAAATCTCGCAGTTAAAACAAAGTGATATCCATCATTAAGCAAGTCCTCGATCAATGAGGCATGACTATTAAGTGTTCTTATTAGTGCTGCAGCTGTCTGAACACTTAAAGTAAACTTCTCACAGTTTGGTATCTTTTGTGATTGCCAAACTTCAATCCAATGTGCCGTTTCCCGAAGAAATTCAGGTTTTTTATCACCAGAAACAACTGCATTACCTAAAATATTACATGCTGAATACTGACATTTAGAATTTGATAAAACCCACCACTTGTTAAATAATGTAAGAAAATCTGCACTACCTTTAACATCTGGAAAATATGAGTGAATCGCTGCCGATGTAGTTTCATCAAAAATTGCAAGTGCTAAAGAAACATTTTGTTTAAAATTGCCAGGATGTAACACTTTCATTGTTATTTTTGGTGCTTTACGCAAACCAGCATTAAGAGTGAGGTCTTTTTCATAAATATTGTGGAAGGTACTCCATTTAATTTCTCCCCCACATACAATTATAGGTTCTTTAAATCCATTAAAGTTAAAATCTGGAAATAAAAATCTTTTGCAATTTAACAAATTATTTGTGATGTTTTTAATAAGATGTACAACATCAAAACAGAGGTAAATTTATTTTAGATTGTAAATAAAAAACAAACCTTCAGCTTGTTGATTCAATGCACAAAGGATTTTTTTAAAACAAGAAACATTAGCAGAATGGTTGTCACACACAATAACTCTAACATTAAATTCACATTCAGTTAAAATACGAAGACATTCAAAAATTTCTTCTTTCAACCATTCAGCATTGATTGTTTTTTCAGGAGACGTTTTGATCACATATGGAATGTTTTGTTTCAGGCCAACTATCATAAAACAAACTATTCCCTTATACATTTCTCCAGACTCATCACTACCAATCATCTCTCCAGCAAAATACTCCTCACATTTTTGCAAGTACATTTCATCAAAAATTAAGCAAATGTCTTGAGATATCTTACCTTCTAATTTTAAACGTTTTGCACAACTTAGAGCATCAATATTTCCACTAGTTATTTTTTTAAGTAATGATAATAATGGTAAAGGCAATTCTTCACGCAAAAGTTGGTATGACTGCATAGAAGTATATAGTAATATCAGTGAATACCTTATAATATTGGCTAAATAAATAGGTTTTTTCATATATTTAATTTGCTGTAATTCAGTCAATACAGATGAAAATTGTTCGGCTTGTGATTTAATGTAGGTAGGAAAATTATGAAGCATACTTTTACAAGATAAATCAATCAAGACAATCTCTTCCTTGACAAAACCACTGAGGTAATGGCAGAGGTGAACCTCTGTAAAATAACTTAACATGCATCTCATTGTTTACACGAATACACTCTGTAACCTCTGGAATAGATAAAGTACTATGACTCAATTTATAAAAAATTACATGATCATCATACTTCAAGAATGAAAAACCATCTGGAGCAAAACTTTCAGTAATATCGTTAAAGCTATTAATCAAATCATTTAATAAAAACTGTTCATATTGATCTGGCTGAAATATTCGGCGGACTTTAAAACGGCGCACTTTAAAACATTTCTCAAGTAAGCTTTTGTGAAATAGTAAAACCTTACAAAAAATAATAAAGCTTTAAAAAAAACTTATACTTATTTTAATTCTAATATCAGTAGTATATGTGTAAATGTTTTAATTTTATAATTGTAAATGTTTATATTTGGTTTGTAAATATTTAAATTAAAGTTTTAAATTTTAAAAAATGGTTTTAGAAAGTGTTTTTTTTTCTCTTTCGAGGAAGCCATTTTGGCACATGTCGTAACTGCGCGGTTTTGCCATTCTGTAAAATACTCAGTATATTTACCGAGAATTTTCGTAACGAAAGCTTTCGTTGTTTACCGAGTTTGGGGTAAGTCCGCCGCTAAGTAAACTAAGTTAGACTAAAAAAATAATAAATTTCCCACAATTTGCTACTAAACATCAACCGGCATACCTAAAGGTATCGATCTTAAACCATTTTTAAATAAAAATTTTGCTTGGGCTAAAGTCATTCCGTAGGGCCAACCCAATCTTACGGAAACTTCAGAGTTGAAATTTTCACCAATGATTTATTGCATATTAAAGAATCATTTAACCGACAGAGTTGAAGACTCGAGTCAACTGACTCGAACTCGAGTCCGACTTAAGTCACACCAGTGACTCGACTCGAGACTCGACTTGGGTTTTACCCTGAGACTTGCGACTTGACTCGAGACTTGCTAATTTCGGCTTAGCGACTTTAAAATTATTATTTTCCGTCTCTTTAAAAATGGAGCAATTTATCTTCTATTTTAATTCTTTAACTATTTTTTATTTTCGAATGTTTTAATTTTAACTTACGTTTAACTGGTTTGTAGTCTAAGCGAGATCCGAAGAAAAATATCGCATTTAGGCTCTTTCGTTTTCAAAAAATTCCAACTTTTTTGTGTGCGTTTTGATTGGTTCATTTTTTCTTTAACTCGTGAAATTTATTGTTTATAAATGTTCGGTGATTTTAATTTCTTATTTAAATTTTTTTTAATTCTTTTTTTTTCTTTCCTTAACAATCTTCATTTTTCTCTTATTTATTTTTACTTTCAAAATGATCAGTTAGTGTTTTTAAAATGTCACACGGATATGTTACTACCCAGCAAACATGAGGTTAAATGGACCGCCAGCGGCTAGCCGATACTGACTTAACTATAGATTACCGATGTAGGACTGCCCGGTTCTGGCATGCCTCTAGAGTACCGACATCGTAAAGGTAATGGCTGCCCGCTTGGGCGCTTGCCGTTAATGGTCCTCTATTTAACGATAATAAAGACTCCAACTATGCCTAAATCGGACCGCTAGTGGTCCAACTACCATTATAAGTACTTGTAAACATAATTTCCGAAAAAATATATAGTATTTTGGAAAGCCGTATTTAGTATAGTGTTGTCTTTTAAGGTTTCTATTTACAACAACAAATACTTTAATTAGATTGCTTTTTAGATATATTGGTTTTATTGGTTATATTACTTATTACTGGATATATTGGTTATATTACTAAGATATATTGGTTTTATATCTAAGTGTTTTTTTTAACCATAATAAAGTTGGTTTAGTCATAAAAAAAAGTGTTATTATGTTATTAATTAAATAAAAACTTCTACTATGGATGTAACTCTCTATTTTTATATTGATTTTCATTTAAATTGATATGTACCATCGTTATCAAATATAATACAAATATGAAAAAAAAAACCCCGTTATAAACAAAGCAAAAACAAAACAAATCAATGCAGGAGTTTCTTTTGATTCAAATATCGAAACAAAAGGAAGTGTTTATTACGTTGATTTTATTAAATTTCAGATTAAGACCCATGTTTCTAATAATAACATTATTATTTTTTAAAGATTTAACCAACTTTAATTTTATATTAACAAATCCAGCTGTAATGTAGATATATATGTTTATTATAAATAATAGATTATTTCATTTTTATGACAATATATCCATATAAATTACATATATATTATATATTATATATGGCTATATATTATACAGCCATATAGTTATAGAACCATGGCTTCATTTGTCAATATAAAAGTAAAGTTATTAAGTTTATTGTCTATGGGTAATTCCACATCAAATCACCCAAATTTTTCAATATTTCGAACCATAGGTCTCATATTTTCTTTAAACTTCTTTAGCTGTTGCATTTCATATAGAAAAGTTCACATGCAAAATTTTAGCCAAAAATGTTCAACCGTTCACAAGATATCAAGGTTTTAATATAGACCTGGTTTCCCAAAATGACCTGGTTTCTGTGTCATTTTAAAAAAACGTTTGCTCTAATAAAATGAAAAATAATGAAAATAAAAATATGAAAATTAGCATTTATAATGCTTTTCTAATGCAGAATTCAAAAAATGCACTTAGAATGCTGAAATATGAGCAGAACATGCTTTAAAATTAAAAACACACCTAATTTATATATTCAAACTTAGGGGTCATATATCTCAAAACACCTCCGTCTAGATTTTTTTTTTTTTGCTTTTAATATTTTTAGCTACTTATTATCTTACTAGGCACAAAAAACCTAACTGGAAAAACAACTAAAACATATAGAACCATAGTTTCCAAGATACACCACTTTTATGGGTGCCCATAGCAATTTTCTAACGAGGGGGAGGGGTGAGGGAACAACAAAATATTTTTAGTGATGTTCTAATTTAGTTCACTTTACCAAGAATACTTAAAAAAAAGCATATTGCAAAAGACATGGTGAAAACAACTTTTTTTTATTACAGTTAGAGGGGAGGAGAATAGTGTTTCAATAACACCTGGCATTGCCATATCTCTGTCATTTAAACCATTTAGCCAATAAAACATATCAAACTACTTTGTATGAACAGTAGTTACTTAGTAGTGATAAGTTGTAGATGAGTTAAAAAATAGAAAGTAGGATTAAATCCACTGAGACATCATTGTTAACTCTTATCAAGCTCCAATTATCCAACAGCCAAAGATTTGGAAATATCTAATACTATATCATTATTTAATATATTTAAAACTAGAGCTTTTTTTTTTACTGAAAACTAAGTAGGAAAGATCTTTTTTTTTTGTATCCTTCGAATTGCTTTTTTCTTACTGCAAAAGCATTCAATACACTTCATTGCAAACTAATTAAAGAATTAAAAGGGTATGGCATCACTTAAAAGCTGCTAAAAATCTTCCTAAAGATAGTACATGTGTAGCAAATTATAGAGTTCTGTAAAGAATTATTTTTGGTTAATAGACTTTTTATATATTTAAGGAAGTCTTAATTATATGATAACTTAATTATATGCACTTAACAACTGAAAAAACATCCGGTTTTGTTTTTATATAAAAACATTTTATAAAAAATAATTGTTATGTTAATATGATATTTTTTTTAATTTTGACAACTATAGTTTGTAAAAGGTTATTAAAAATTAGTTTATAAAAGTTTAGTTTATAAAAGTTCAGATATAGAACAACATTTATTGGTAAGATTATATTTAAATTTTAAAAAATTAATAATTTAAATAATATAATTATTTAAAAACTTCTTTTTTTACAACATTTATTAATATTAATAATAATAATATTAAGAACAACATTTATTAAAAATTATATTTATTAAAAAACTTTTTTTACATACAATTAAGTAGAAGAATTTTATTTTTATTTTTAGGAAATACTTTCATACTAAATAATTTATCTTATTAAGATGTGTTCTATTGGGTTAATGACATCAGATGCTTGCGAAGGCCAACAATATGTTATTGAAACTTTAAGCAATGAAGAAAAAATAATTATATGTTTACGCTGTAATATTGAATTATCAAACTTAGAAATATTATAATACAAAATATTTGAAAATGTATCCTATATGGCAGAAAGCTTGTTGTGATCCATTCAATAGACATACAAAGAAAATCACAAGTATGTAGCTGTAAAATTTAAATATTTCATTAATTTATGTTTTTCAAAAAATAAACGAAAGTTTTGAACTAATGTGCAGACATACTTTATACAATTCAATTACTTTTAGAAAATCTTGGCGTAGTTACAATAAAAGAGTCACAAGTCATGATGAGAAATTGTTTGAATATTCCTCCTGGGAAGAAACTTTGCAAACCTTGTAAACAAAAGATTGCCAGAAAAAAAGAACTTACAGAAGAGGAGCAAAGTAAGAGTGAACAAGATGAGGATTTTCTAATATCATCATGCAAAAAAATATGACAGGAGATCAATAAAGAACTCAAAAATTTTAGTTTATCTCCTCTAAAATCTCATTCAAAATCATTAAAACATGTACTGTCAGAAGGAAAGCAAAAAGTTGCATGCATCAACGAAATGGCGTATAACGCTACTAGAAAAATTGAAACTCAATTTTCCTCAAAACTATGTTATGAAACCAATGGGATGAAAAAGAAGGCTGCAAACTTTGATGTAATTATGAGCTTGGTAAAAGAAAAAATTCTATGTTCTGACAAACGAACTATTGTTCAACTTCTAACACTGGCACCCCCAAGTTGATCAATATTAGAAGTACAAAATAACTTTTCGGTTACAGAATACCAGGCCAAGATGGCTAGAAAAATTTTTAATAAAAAAGGATTGTTAGGTATCTCTCCATTGTATAAGGGTAAAGTCTTACATAAAGAAATAGAAGATTCAGTTAAATTGTTTTATGACTCAATTTGATTTTGAGACACTACAAACAATGGCAAACTACTGATCGTGCAACACTATTGAGTTTAACAACAGATGTTCCAACGTTTATTGAACTATTGGTATCTTGTTTTGAAAAGCTACAATCTCATTCTTATATTGCCAAATCTCAATCACAATACCTTAATCAACTAAAAGAAAATATGGATCAATCAAACATTATCATTCTTGGCGACTTTGCTGAAAATTATGCTTTTGTAGTCTAAGATGAAATACAGAGCTATCACTGGAACACCCAACAATGTTCTTTACATCCATTAGTGATATACTATAAAGAAGAAAATGGTGTAGTGAAACATATTTCTTACTGTTTTATATCAGACGACATTACACACGATGTAACTTATGTATACAAGATATTTCAACTAATTATACCAACATTAAAAAAAAAATTTCTTGATTTATCCAAATTGCATTTATTCACTGATGGTTGTGCAGGACAGTACAAAAATTGTAAAAGCTTTTACAATCTATGCCAACTAGAGACAGAATTTTCCCTCAAAATTGAATGGAACTTTTTTGCAACGTCCCACGGAAAGTCACCATGCGATGGAATTGGTGGTGCTGTAAAAAGGTTAACAGCACAAGAAAGTTCAAAACGACCATACAGAAACCAAATTCTCACATCAGAGGCTATGTATGAATTTTGTGTTGAGAAAATTAAGGCTGTTAACTTCATTTACATAAAGGGATTGGACTTACAATTGCAACGTGAAAAGCAAAAAGAAAGATACACTGATGTAACAACTCTACCAGGTACTCGTAGCTTTCATCAATTTATACATCTTGGAGTTAATAGGGTTGGGGCGAAGAGGTGTAGTACAGACACTTAATATACAATAATTCACAATCTTAAAAAGAAACATATATTTGAACCTGATACTGTCACTTTAGGAGGTTATGTTGCGGTAGTTTATCATGATAAGTGGTGGATCGGCATTGTAACTGAAATCAACCTAGAAGAAGTTGATGCTGAAGTTAAGTTTCTCCACCCAAGAGGTCCATCAATCTATTTTAACTGGCCTGAAAGAGACGACCACTGTTTTATTCCTAACATCAATATATTGAAAAAACTATCTGTTCCACAAGCTTGCTCTAGTTCTGGTAGAAACTATGTGTTTGAAAATGTTGAAATAGAAGAAGTGCAAGTAAAATGGCAACAATATTGTGAACTATTACAAATACAGTCAAAATAACTTGCACATTCGATACCTTTAAAAATCTTGTATATTTAAGCAACTTTGTAAATTAGGAATAATTTATTTTAATTGAATTTATAAATATTTTTTAGGAATTTCTTAAAAAAGTTATACATCTTTAAAATTAAAGTTCTATATGTTTCAGTTCTTTTTCCAGTTAGATTTATTGTGCCTAGTAAGATTATAACTAGCTTAAAATATTGAAAGCAAAAAAAAAAAAAAATTTGACGGGGGTGTTTTGAGATATTGGGCCCTAAAGTTAGATTACATAAACTAGTTGATTTATTAATTTTTAAGGATGTTCCTCTAACATTTCAGCATTTTAAGTACATTTATTGAATTCAGCATTAAAAAACCATTATAAATGTATATTTTTATATTTTTGCCATTTTTATTTCTTATTTTATTGAGGAAAACAACTTTTCAGAATGTTATGAAAACCGGGTCATTTTGAGAAACCAGGTCCAAATTAAATTTGCTGTATCTTGTCAACCGCTTGACATTTTTAGCTGAAATTTTGCATGCAATATTTTTTTATAAATAGGAATCATGTGTCAAAATATAAAACAAAAAGAAGACACATGGTTCAATGGAGTGGGTGATTTGATGTGGAATTACCCCTATATAAATTTTATATATGCTTTTAGTTTAAAATGAGCTACTGGACCAAGCGAAGAAAGATACGCACAAATGTAAAAAAAAGTTTAGAAGCTATGAAAATAAAAAGAGGAACAACCTCAAAATCTGATTCACAAGAGTCTTCTCTTTTTATTTTCATAGTTCATAGAGTCATAACTTTAAAAAATGTTATACTTTAAGTAACTTTTTTACTGTAATAAATTTTAGACTGTAAGTTTTATTTTTTGTCAACTTTATAGTAATATATATATATATATATATATATATATATATATATATATATATATATATATATATATATATATATATATATATATATATATATATATATATATATATATATATATATATATATATATATATATATATATATATATATATATATATATATATATGAATGTGTGTTGTTGCTATAGTAGCTTTTCTCCAATTCAATTTACTTATCATGAGCAAGGGTTTATATGCAGTTGTATCTTTTACTAAAGAAAATGGAGAGTTATTGGTGATACCTCATTCATGGCTGTTAACAGATAGAGACGGCAAGTTGAATTGTTGTTACTGGCCCCCTTTTGCAAGACAAGAATCTATTGAAAAGGCAATATTTAGTTTAACATCTTTTTCTACTTCATGGACACAGCATCAAATCCAGCTCATGGCAGTGGCAGGTATGTAGATAAAGAGTTTTAAACTTTAATAATTTTCTTAAAAAATTTTGTTTTGTGGCTAAATTGTTGCTTGATAAAAAAAATAATATATATACTATGAACATTATAAAATAATATTATTTTTGTCTTTTGGGATATTTTTAATTTTTTAAACTGATAATTTTTAGATTCTTACCCAAAAGCTGTTGAAAAGTTAAAAGATGCACAATATACTTTAGATCAAACGGAAGTTGATGAAGTTTGTCAGCGTCCAAAGCGTAAACGGTACAATTTTTGTTTGTATAAAAAAGATATTCAGAATTAAAACTTATTTCTTTAAATATATTTTTTATATAAAAAGAACTTTATTTAAAGTGAAACCCCTAATATCATAGTGGCTAAAGGTAGACTTGTAAATGTTGGATAGTAATCTTTGCATAGGTAGTACACAAAAATTTTATTTATTGTTTAATTTATTTATAAAAATGTTTTACTATTATTGCTCAGTATGATAAATATAAATTTAAATGTGGTCAAAACAGTAAGTAAAATTTTGTGGACAATTTTTTTTGTCAAATATTCTTTGTATAGTCATTGTTAAAAGGTTTGAGCTATTAAGTTACTATTAAGTTAATGTTTTAACTGTCAATCATAGTATATAAATTAGTTACTATTTTTTTTAGAAAAGCAAGGCAATCAGTTGACAATCTTGAAAATGATAGTGTTAATGAGACTGTTAATTTTGATATTCAAGAGGTAGTTAAGCAATCAAAAAAGTCGAAAATGCATCCTCAAGCACCAAATGTACCAACTTTTCCTATAGAAACTTTAATATCTGGGAACAATAATGCATCAAATGTAATACTAGAACATGAAAGTTTTCTGGTTGATAAAAATTTAGGAGAAGATTTTGTATTGGGTAGTTTTTTAAAAGAGCCAAAATAATAATTTTATTCCAAAGATGGTGGCAACAGATGCTGAACATTCAACTTTAGATTCAGGAATTATTTTTAAAAACTTTGCTAAACAGACTTTTAAAATAATGGCTGAATTAAAATCAACCTTGTTGGAAGTCGAAAGTCGGGTTTTTATCAATACTCAACATCTACAAACATTGACTAAAGGAGGCTTTGAATCAGCTGATCGAATTTTTGAACAACTTGAATTGCCAATTAATAATGTTAATGATTTTCTAGATTTAAATTTGAAGCTTCCAGATAAAGTATTATTTTTTAATGTTATTATGTCTTTTATTATAATATATTAAAGTATTGTTAATAATTTCTTTTTTTTATTATTATTACTCATGAACTTTGTTTAAAAAAATACATACTTGGGAATTAAGGGTTATGAGTGTATTACAAACAAAAAAACAAAAGATTAAAATACAAAATATAGTTGAATTTGATGTAAAAGACAGCTTATAAACTCTTTTTAGTTTATCTATATATATATATATATATATATATATATATATATATATATATATATATATATATATATATATATATATATATATATATACACATATACACATAAAATTTTAATTAATATTTAACTTATTATTTTATGTGTTTAAATAGTAAATTAATTTTATATATGCTATATTTATGATTTAAGGTTGTTGCTGTTTCTTCCTACTTTAATGGAAGCTGTAAAATGTATGATAAGGAGCATGTTCCCTAATTCACTTTTTAGGAATTTAAATTGGACAGGACAACCTCCAAAAACAAAGTTTGGGAATACGAAGTGTCATGGAGTTATTACAAGTAAGTATTTATAATATTCTAAGAGTCTGAATAATTCCTATATCTTAAGCTAAAGGATATAGGATTTGATTTTATAATTTATTGATATAAATATAATATACACTTTTTAAATATAAACATTTGAGTGTTAAATATATAATCATCTGAGTTTTTTTTTGAATGAGTAAGGGTTGGAGTGAATACTTCATTTGAGAAAATTGTATTTCGTTTAAGTAAAATACCATTTTTTTACTTATTTAGCAGGGTTATTTTTGTCTCAGCAAGCTTATTTGTACAAACATTTTATTTCAGTAGTTTTGACTATTTATTTTTATGAGCCATTACGCATTGTTGAATGTTCAGCAAAAAATTTTAATCTGTTTACAGCGAAAAATATTCAATGTGATAATTTCTCATTTTGTAATTAGGATTGTATGACCTTTTTACACATTTTATAAAACAATAACGAAAAAATAATTTGCAACCGGCTATTAAGTGATAAGAATTAAGGTTATACAATTTTGATAAAGTAGTATTTCACTAATCACGCAAGGCCTGGTATTGCACTATAGTATTTCACTAATCACGCAAGGCCTGGTATTGCACTATAGTATTTCACTAACCATGCAAGGAAAAGCAACCTTAACATATCTGTGTTCTTGCTTTAATATATAATTAGAGGCGAGCAGTTATGTGGTGGATGTTTTTTAAGTTTTTTTCAGAAACTTTGGGAATCCAAGAGTTTTTAATCGTCATTTGTTCAAAATGTTAAAGCATTAACATATGTAATGCTGGTACAACATATGTCATGCTGGTACATAAACGTATAAGATATTTATTAAATAAATTTTTTTTTTTTTAAGAACTAACGGCAGATCATCAAGTGAATTAGTAGTTGGAAAACGTGTAACTTAGAGTCGATGCAACAATATGTCGAGTTGGGGAATCGCGGACGTTCTCCAACTCGATATTGTGTTGCATTGATTCTAAGTTTTGATAACTTACACAGCTATCTTTTTAGTAAATTTTTATTGTAGTATGTGCTATTAAAATGTGCTTATTTATTTTCTTCAACTTAAAATTTTATATAGTTTGATTCAATAGTTTTGGTTTGTAATTAATAGAGGTTATAGCAAGGATTATTCCGACACTAAACTGTACTGAATGTGATATTCAAAAAGAAATTGTTCGTTATATACATGGGTCGAACGATAGAGATGGCGGTCGTAAAGAACGAAAAGGAAGAAAAAAACTTCAACGATTAGTGATATTCTCGAGAGTGAATCATTTTCAAATGAAGAATAAAATTTAGGGAATTTTATAATTATAATATAAAGTAAATACTGTAAAATTTGTATTTGAAAAAGTTCTCTTGTGTAACGACGTTAAAATGTTGTTATTAATAATCGCGACGCTCATTTTGCATAAACACAAATTGTCCAAACAGTTTTTGTTATTGGGAGACTATTTAGTTTGCAATAGAGATAAATATCCAGTGGTAGTCATACTATTGGAGGCACACTTGGCGGATATCTAAGTAGTCTTTTTAATTGTCAAAACCAGTAAATAAGTTTAACTTCTCTAATTGGTAACACGCCAAACAACTTCATAACTAAATAATGAACTTCAAGATTTGTTTGTCGTTTTAATATTATATTTTAAGAATTAAGTTCTATATATAGAGAGCCCTATATATGGCCTATATTAAAAAAAAATGCCAATAGGAATACCCTGGCTGACCGTTAACGGCACGTACCACTATAGGTCCACTAGCTAACCATCCACAGCACATGCCGCTATAGGACCATTGACTGACCGCTCCAGAGTTGTGCCGCTATTGGTCCGCTCAGTAACCGATGAGCAAAACTCAACTGGTCCACAAGCGGCAGGCTGCTAATGGACCAGTAGCCTTGCCTCTACTGGACCTCTATAGGTCCTCCAAACCATGTTTTGTATATTAAGCTTTGTATTGAGGAATTCTTTGATTTTTTGCTCACTTTCTTCCCAAGTTTCATTAGCTTTATCTTTAATCCCAATAAATCTCAAGTTGTTTCTACGGCTTCTGTCTTCTAGTTCTGCTATTTTCTCTTTTATGTTATTAGTTCCATTTTCAATATTACTTTCATCTGGTGATTTTTTAGACTCTGTTTTTTTTTAATTCTGTAAGTTCAATTATTATTTTATCATAGCTTTTACTTATAAATCTGTACCTCAGATAATTCTTTTTTTAACGTAAAGTTTTCATCTTTTAAGTTATTAAATTTAATTTCTATTTTTTCTATCTGATCATTAAAAATTTTCATCTTAGTATTCTTGTGATTTTCAAGGATTTCTTTAAGTTGTGCTGGTGTAAAATTTTTCGCCATTATTAAAAGTTTTTTAATAAGCTCTTAAAACACGTCCGTTCGCGGTGAAAATTGCGGTAAAAAATCTTATAAGCATAATGTTTGCCGACGATACCAATTTATTAACAAACTTTTTTTAGATTTGAATAAAGAACTTAATCAAGTTTCTAACTGGTTTAAATGCAATAAATTAACTTTAAATATTGACAAAACAAAGTGGATCCTTTTCCACTCCTCAACAATAAAACGCTTTTTGCCTTATGATTTACCTAAACTTTATATTGACGAAGTAGAAATAAAAATGATTTTAGGTATTTATCTTGACGAAAATATGACACGGAAAGCTCATATTGATTATATATCAACAAAAGTTGCGAAAAGTATTGGTATCCTCTATAAGGCCAGAAATTATCTAAATAAAAATAAACTAAAACAACTATACTACTCATTTATTCATAGCTATATAAACTATGCAAATATTGCCTGGGGAAGTACAGGTAAAAGTAAGTTGCAACGTCTTTACTGCCATCAGAAACATGCAATGCGAATAATATATATTTTTAAATTGTTTTTCAAATACAAAACCTCTATTTAAAGATATGAATGTATTAAATGTTTATGAACTTAACTTGTACAATATTTCATGTTTTACGTTTTGTTGTATGAATAACCCCTTATTTCATGTTTTTAAAGATCTATTTACCTTTAAAGTAAAGAATAAATATAGTTTGCGAAATAATAACTATTTAAAAGAACCCTTTTGTCAAACAAAGTTTAATCAATTTTGTATAGATTATCGAGCACCTTATATCTGGAATAAAATTGTACAGCCTAATTTAGATTCATCTATCTCTTTTTCTGTTTTTAAAAACAAGTTAAAGAATATTATTTTTTCTACGGATGTTATATTGAAATATTTTTGAGATATTATTTTAACCATTTCTTATTTCAAATGTTTTGGATTCTTATTTTGTTATAAACTACCTGTATTATACTATATTTTATTTATACTGTAATTTTTATATGGTTCTGGCGACAAGATCGATATGATCTTCTTCCAGATTCCAAGTTTATATGTTTATATTACATGGAAATCACGACATGTAAATAATGTAAACTGAAAAAAAAAAAAAAAAAATCTATGTATAAATCACAGTTTTTAGTATAAAGATAGAGAAGCTGATCCGAACCTGGAAACTGTTAAAAAACAAACAAAGCAAGGCAAACTTTATCAAAGATTGCAAAAAGGAGGAAGTTTTTAACTCAAATGAAAAGGATCTTTTGGATTGCATCTTAGGGAAACAAAATGATCAAGGCAAGACTGAAGATATTGCATTTTTATTGGACCAATTAGAAGATAGAAAAACTAGAATAGCTGGAATCAATACAAGGTACCTTTACTCTGTAAACAGGAGTTTATCCAAAATTAAAAGGAAATCAAATTTGCATGAAACTATGTCAGAGAGTGAATTCATCTCAAATGGATCGGAGAAAGATAAAGATAATGATGATTTTCCATACCCAGATCCAGAAGTTAAAGAAAAAAGTCAAAAAAGCTAATACTGTTATGCTTCCAAAAGATGTTCTCAAGAGAACTGCTGATACTGCTGTTGGGGAAGGAATAAGACATAGGCAGCATGCTTCCATGGTTAACAGTATAATTGTTAAATCGGGTGGAAATATAACTGAATTTAAATATTTAACCTCTACAGCATTGCGCGCTGCAGATAAGGTCATTCATAATGAATCAAAGAGGATCAAGAATGATTTGAGAAGTTTTAAAAAAATCAATAAGAACATTCAGTTCAACTCCATTTTGATGGAAAAGTATGTCATGAATATACTGATGGGAAAAAATTGGAACAAGATTGATTAGCAATATTATTATACGGTAACAAGGAAACGCACCTGTTGGGAATTCCACCATTTTTTCTGGAATTGGCGAAAATTAAAAAAGTGCAATTAGAGATATCTTAAATAGCTTTAACCTTACAAACAATATACAAGCTGTTACATTTGATACCACCAGAATCAACACTGGAAACAAAAGTGAAGCTATATCTTTACTGGTAAATGAAGTCCTTCAACGACCAGTTCTATATATTGCATGCCGACATCATGTCAATGAGTTACACATAACACATTTCTGGAAAAATTATCAAAGTAGCATTACTTCTGGACCAGAAAATCTGCTGTTTAAAACATTAAAATCAGCATCGAATAATCTTGACGCAGACAATTAGGTAGGTTTTTACAAAATTAGCTACCATTTTGTGAAATATTATTTTTTCCAAATAACTTTCTTTTTTCAATTTTGAGTTCTTTGAATTTTATTTTTTACATCTTGAATAAATAAGGTTTTGAGAAGATTGATTATTCCAAAGGAGACATGGCTTGGTCATCAAAGGCATGAAAGCATAACGTTCTGCAGAAGTATTATTACCAGTGGGTCTCTAAAAAAGGTAGCCAAATAACTAAATATCTGAAATTGTAGTTATCTATGCAGTATGTACTACTATGTTGTAATTTATTATAAACTTTTCTTTTTTAATTCCATTATTCTTTATTATACTATAATATAAAATAGGTTTATTGTGTTATAACTAAATAATTATGATTTGATTTCATTTCAAAAAAAAGGAATTTGTTTTACATTATCAAATATATGTCTTTTTAAAAAAATTTAAAAAAATATTTTTTTTTATAGGTATCTACTAAAACTCCAACTTATGATGGATGCTGTACCTAGTCTGGAAAAACGGTTGAAGCATGAAATTACTGAAGTGGCAACATAATATATATATTTATATATATATATATATATATATATATATATATATATATATATATATATATATATATATATATATATATATATATAATAAAAAGGTTTCTAGTTTAAAAAAAAAGTTTTGATTACCGTAAAACGGGGTTACTTTGAACGTTTTTGAGATATTTTTACTTGGTCTTACTTCACTATTGACAATATTTGAAATTTAACAAAGTGAATATACAAGCTAAAATTGACTCTTACATAATTCAAATCCAAAATAATATTTAAATAAAAGTATTTTGTATAATATTAATTTAAATAGTCATTCAAAGTTACCCCGCAAATGGGGTAACTTTAAATGCGTTTTTTGTAAAAGCAAAACCTATTCAAAATATAGCCTTGTTTTGTTTTAAAATTTAATAAAAACAACATTCTAGTTTCACAGTAATTTATTATTGCTAAAATAATATAACATTTTTTCATAGCAAACACCCATTTAGTATTTTATTTTGTTTAAATGGGTATTTTTTAAGTGGACTAGCATAAAAAAAGTCTCAGTTACCAGTTATAAAACAAGATACGTAAAAGATTAAAAAGGTAAATTTTTAGTAAATTCAAGTTTTTCACTGTAAAAATTACTTTGATTTAACAAATAGGAATAAATACAATATGACAAAAATACAATATGACAAAAATACAATATGACAAAAATACAATATGACAAAAATACAATATGACAAAAATACAATATGACAAAAATACAATATGACAAAAATACAATATGACAAAAATACAATATGACAAAAATACAATATGACAAAAATACAATATGACAAAAATACAATATGACAAAAATACAATATGACAAAAATACAATATGACAAAAATACAATATGACAAAAATACAATATGACAAAAATACAATATGACAAAAATACAATATGACAAAAATACAATATGACAAAAATACAATATGACAAAAATACAATATGACAAAAATACAATATGACAAAAATACAATATGACAAAAATACAATATGACAAAAATACAATATGACAAAAATACAATATGACAAAAATACAATATGACAAAAATACAATATGACAAAAATACAATATGAC